TATCGGCCGATATGCGGCTGTGTGTTTAGGGCAGATATCGGCCGATATGCGGCTGTGTGTTTAGGGAAGAAATAACACTTAAATAAACAAATATAACTTTCATGAGTCCAATTCAGTCTGACTCAACACAACAGCAACAACACACAAATATGGGTCCCAGTCGGTCTCAGTCCCGGTCCGGTCCCGGTCTCAGTCCCGGTCTCAGTCCCGGTCCGGTCCCGGTCTCAGTCCCGGTCCGGTCCCGGTCTCAGTCCCGGTCCGGTCCCGGTCTGAGTCTCACCTTCTTCTTGCCGGTGGTTCTGGAGCTGCTCTGGGAACACTCGGATATCGTGCGGACTCTGCGCTCCTCGGGTTTCGGGTCTGGTAGCGGATCAGTCCCCGGTCCCGATCCCAGTCCGGATTTAGTCCTGATCGGGGCCTGGAAGTTGAGCGGGCTGTACGGGTCGGACGAGCAGAAGGAGTCGAGCAGCTTCAGGTTCTGCTCCTTGGCGTCGCTGGCCTCGTCCCAGGAGGAGGAGGACGCGGACGAGGCCAGGGAGGAGGCGCAGGACGCTGGGCTGGACTGGTCTTCCTCTGGTCCCGGTCCTGGTCCCGGTCTGGGGATGGGTCTCGGGGCAGATCCCAGTTTGGCGGTGAAGTTGCGGGGGTTGTACGGGTCGTCGCTTTGGCACAGAGAGCTCCACAGTTGCTCCGTCTCAGAGTCAAACTCGTCCTCGTCGTCCTCGTCGTCCTCGTCGTCGTCGCTGTCGTCGCTGTCGTCGCTGTCGTCGTGTCGTCGTCGTCGTCGCTGTCGTCGCTGTCGTCGCTGCACGGACACCCCATAATGAACGCGATGGTCTTGTTCTCGCGGTGGGGCGCCGGGAGCCGTTTGTCCGTCTCACGCGGCAGCTCCTCGTCGATCTCCTCGTCGATCTCCTCGTCGGTCTCCTCGTCGGGCTCCCAGGCGCTCCCCAGGCCCGGCAGCAGCAAGGCGGCGCTCTGGAGCCGGGCTTTGGCCACCAGCTGCTCCTCCTCCAGGCTCGAGTATCCGTGGTCCTGGTCCGGGGCGAGCGCGCACACGTCCCCGAGGCTCTGCAGCCTAAAACTGGTTTTGTTCATATTTTCTAAGTTTCGGATCCTCTCGTGCAGTTCCTGGTTCTCAGCCTCTAAGATCTGGTGCTTGACCTTAGGTCAGGATTTTCTAAAAAAACACCAGGGCATTTTTTCTGTTTAAATATGCAGTAAAGAGAGAGAAAAGCTCTAGTGTAAACGTGCAGTAGTAGCTCTAGTAGCAGTACACGTAGTACACGCAGTAGAAGTGGCAGTATTCTGTGTCTGTAGTGTTTGTTTCGTGTTATACTTATAATCTTCTTCAAAACAGTAAGTTGCTTTGTGCTTTGTGCTTGTCCTTTACTGATGATGTCATAAAGCAGAGCGCTGCTTTGAAGTAGCAGTAGTAAAAGTATTAGTAAAAGTATTCTTTCACTTGAGTGTTTATTTCACTGTGTCACTCAAGGTTTGCTTCTCTGATGATGTCATCAAGCAGAGTTCTATCACCATGGAGATCCAGGGCGGCATTAGAACATCACGTTGCTACGGCGACAGCTTCTCAGGCTCCAAAACTATTTTAGATTCTAGAATGTGATGATGTCATCGTCCCAGAGGGGAGGAGCTAAATCATTTTCCCGGTGATTACGATGTACTTTTCCATCTGTATTAATATTAGATGGAAACCATGGCAACAGAGAGGTGGTCTGCTCTTGTGGAAGCTTTCACATGTTGAACGTTTAATGTTGTTTTTTTATAATTAACAAAACTAGTCGATCTCACCTGGGACAGAAGGGGAGGGGCTTAGATCAGAGAGATCAGGAGTCTAACCCACAACCTCCTGGTGAGAGGGAGGAGACAGGACAACCGCCCGACATCAGAGCGTTTGTGAAAGCAGCGGCTGAAACGTCCCCAACACATTTGCACGACTTCATTGTTTTTGCTGATTCAAGGAAAGTTACTCAGAAAATACTCAGGTAAAGGGGCGGGGCCTCACTGCTCAGGTAAATGGGCGGGGCCTCACTGCTCAGGTAAAGGGGCGGGGCCTCACTGCTCAGGTAAAGGGGCGGGTAAAGTCTGACCTGTTCATTTTCAGAAAAGTCCTGGTGTTTGACACAAAGAAATACAAATTGAATTCACACAATAATAATAATAACCCCAGTTTTGTTTTGTATGTGAACTAGAAGTGCACAGTCTGATCTTTGAACACTGAAGAGTCTCAAAGTGAGTGGTTTTACTGTAGACAGGAAACAGGTGACACAAAGGTCTGCACACAGATCCCGCTTCAGTCTTTGCGATCGGGGATTTAAAGTCTCGTAAGATTCTCCTCGTGTCTGTGGCGTTCGCTTTCTGTCGCACGTTTAAAAATGGTTCCAAATCCTGTAGTGTGTGTCGGCCGTAACTGCTGCTGCGAGCCTCATCGTTCTGCTCTTAAAATGTTCGTATTAATCCGCTCTACGTGATCCCGGGTTTTTCATTTTGCTGTTTTGTCTGTAAATCGATTCCTAAAATGCAGCTCTGAATTCTCCCCTGTAACCGCCAGGCGTCGATGAGCTTCATTTGACTGGAGCCTAGCGATTTCTTTACAATCTGTGGACGTCTAAAGAGGAAAAGGACTCCGGATTTCAGCATTTTCAGTTTGTATTTTGGATTTAGATGTGAGTCATTTATCATTGAAAGACAAACAGACTGTGAGTAAAACACAGTGATAATAATAAAAATGAAATGTGAAGTTTTTGAGGCGCCTATGTTCTATTTTTGTCATAATTACACCAGGGATTCGAGACATAAACCAAAGACAAGACAAATTGCTCCCATTTGCTCAAACGAACTTCGATTTCAGTGAAATTTGAAACAGTTGTTAAACTCTCTGCCCTGAAGCTACTTAATGTGAAAATTATTAATTTGGCGCATTAGCGCCCCCTATAGATTGAAACAAAATTTAATATGGGAGAAAATCATTTGTTCCCAAATAGTTGTTCAAAAATTTCTGAAATTTTGCACAAAATTCCATTTTGTCATGCTGATCCAAAATTCAGTGACACCCATGTCATATTTTTGATAGCGTTGCCATAGCGATGACATAAACTCCATGTTCACATCTTTATAAGCACCACGCTGCTGCACCACTGCCGCACTGTAATCATGGTCAAAGGAGAGGGGCTTATCTCCCACGAAAACCTTCTTCTGCCAGGCGTTTCTCAGGACAGACTCTTTAGTTTGAAAGTGTAGAAAGTTTACGATGATGGACCTGGGGGGAGCGTCGGCACTCGGCACGGGACCCAGAGAGCGATGAGCTCGTTGTATTTGCAGGTCTGCGCTGTCATCAATGAGGCGCTCACATTAGTTTCTTCTTTTAGTTTTGAAGGCTGTACCAAGTGGTGAAGTTTGTTGAGTGCATCACATGTGCATATTAAACATTGAATTTATATATTTGTTTGACTATTACAAATTGAGTTGTTTAACCACTGAAGTCTTATGTATGTTTAAAGGTACCACTATGTGAAACATGTTTGCTTTTGAGGTACTCCTTTGCAGATATAGGCTGTGTCCTTTTAAGGAATTTCATTGTAAAGCAGCAGCAGTGGAGATGGGTCTGCCTGGTGCGAAACTAAACAAATTGGTGATTTACATTGGGCTGATGTCAACTCCCTAAACCTAGAGGAATGCAGAGATACTCCAAGGAAGATTCAAGGCATTACCTGTTCAACATATTATTTGCATATTCATATGGATGTCTATAAAATCTGATTTGAGGTATTCAGAGGCGTCCAGATTTGCCTGATTTAAGACCTGTGTAGCTGTAGGCGGTCAGGGGTAACAATCTGACCCAGAGCTCTGTATTAGAATTGTATTGTATAGGGAATAAATTATTTTTGATTTTAATCGAACGATTCCAGTGGTTATTTTTAAGAGAACACGCTGAATGGTTTTTTGAGGATACCTAACAGTTTTTGGTGACCTCCGACGTGATTTAAGTTAATGTTGTGATTTAAAAGGTATGTTGTGATTATTAAGTTAATATTGTATAAGACGGAGTAGGACTCCGCACCTTCCACTTGACGGGATTTCTCTCCAAGAGCGGTCGCCTGTTGTTCTACGGAACCGAATTTCTGCTATTNAAAAAACTTTTCAGTCAGGTGCAGCTAAACAGAACAGTTTTGAGTCTGGATTTAAACAGAGTCACAGAAGAGTCTGTCTCACATGTTCAGACTGTTCCAGGTTTTAGCTGCATGAACCTGAAACTGACTCCTCGTGTTTAGTCGTGACTCTGGGCACCAGGAGGAGGTCAGTCCCTGAGCTCCTCAGAGTGCAGATGGTTCATGTGGCACTAACATGTCACAGATGGACTTTGGTGCTCGGTCATGGAGAGACGTGGACAAGCAGAGCTGCTTTAAACTCTATTCTCTGAGTGTATCAGGCTCTGTGTTTTATCGTGGCCACACCCTCCTTGTCCAAGTCTGATCC